GGACGAAGGATCGTGCGCGAGAGGGTTGTCCATGGGACAAGAAGGAGATGGAACTTTACAGGCCCTTCGTTTCCACGCAGTGAGATTTGGCGGGCTAGCTAGCTGCATGGACGGAGAGATAATCTCCTCCAACAATGCAAAAAGGGTTAAAACCCTTGGCTTCGGCTCCCGTGGTGGCGTGAGATTGGCATGTGTTCCGCCAACAGGAGGAGAAGAGGGCAGTTTGTCATCGGTATTGTCCCAACCGAGAGCCCAATAGGGAATGATAAAGGTGAATAGTCGGGTTAAGGTGACAAGACGACGTCAAAGAGAGTGACACGAAAGCAAATTGCGTTGAAGAAGATGAAAATTGAATAGAAAATGGCTTCTCATCCATCATTTCCTATCACAGGTGTGAAGATGCTTGACAAGACACCTCGTCCCCTTTTGCGTATAGCATTGAGAGGGCCATTTACCTGCGGACGGCGATGTTCTGGCGGCGAAGCTGGGTGCGGACATGCTTGTATTCTTCGTCAGAGCTGCATGCCTCGTCAGAGTCATCAGAGGAGTCGGACAGGGTGTTGTAGCCACATCGGCGACCACCACAGTCGATCTTGACCTTCTCTCCGCTGCGGGTGATTCCGAATCTTTGACAACTGCATGCTGAATCAAGGTCGCTGAATGAAGAGACGGAAGAAGGAGAGGTGTTGTTGGAGCGGGAAGAGAGGGAAGATCCCGAGGACGATGGTGGGGATGAAGAGATGTCGGAGTCGTCGTCTGATAGATCAGTGGCCCTGAATCTCGCGGTCAGTGCATCGACGGTTGGCAGATCCTGGTAGTTGGCTTCTCGGATCTGGCGCGAGGCGTATGGCTTAGAGGGACGTGGGTGCAAGATTCTGGATGGGGACAGAGCACGTCCGACTGGCACATCAACGCTGTCGCGGCGAGGCTTGGAGGTGGGAGCTGACTTGGCGGAGGGTGTACGTGGAACATCGAGGATGTTCAACTTGCGTCCGGTGGTTGGCTCAACGGTGAACTCAGCTGCGGGATCATGGGAGACATGGTAGCCATCCATGATGTAGTAGTACCAGTAGCGAGAACCGGGGTGAAGCATGGTAGTCTGGAAGCGGAACGCTCCCTGCCACGAGCCGGGCTTGGACTTGGAGGAAAGGGGAAGCTGGCCGGCATAGTTGTCCCAGGAGCCCAAAAGATGGACGGTCTTCACATTGGAGGAGGTGCGAAGGGAGAAATTGAGCTGGATGGCAGTGGAAGACATGATGCTTTGTTGAGAGTGTTCTGTGTTTTTTTTTGTGTAATTTTTTAAGGCGGTTTATTCTTCGAAGTTTGATATCCTTTTATTCCGGATAAGAGGACAATCGGGGGTAGTAAATTAAAGGGCGGATTGGTTGGTCAAAAATTATTAAATATTATAAAATGGATAGTTGAAAGTATTCGGCACGTTTGAGTCGTTGAATGGACGGAGGTAGCTAACCAGAGCTTCCTTAAGGCGTCAAGTCAAAAGCAGTTGAAACAAATGTGCGTAGAACGAAGAATGTAGATGAAGGGTTGTTTGAAAAAGTCACACGAGCTATTAGCGAAATCAATTCAAATTGCCGGACCAGCGACAACGAAGTAGATAACGGGTGAGGTTGTATATTAAGAGTGCACAAAAGGGGGGGTATAAAAATATTATGCAGGAGAAGAGACCGGCTCTATAGAATTCTCTTAATATAGGAATAGCTCGAGGACGAAAGGAGAACAGAATTAAGGGGATGGGGGACGAAGAGAGAAGAAAGGAAGAGAAGAGGAGGAGAGAGAAGCAGAACTGAGCGCGGTGTTGGACGGTGTTTATATCTTTTGCAGGCGGGAAGGGAAGTTCGAGCGAGGCAGGCGACAAGGCCCGGGCGGTGGGCAGGGTGCGGGTGGGGCCCTAAGAATAGACGGCGGGTAGAGGCGACCGTTTATTGGCTGTTTGTTTGTGGGTCCCGGCAGGTGGAGAAATGATTAACCAACCAGAGGCCGTCCAAGCGAGGATCGTGCTCTGGCACTAATCCTGATCAGGCGCTGTGGGTCCCATCACACTGCATAACACTGCATGCAGCCAATGAGCGTGCTCGGCGGTCAATGCCGGTTGTATTTTTAGTAGCACGAGAGGGGCAGGTACCTTGCCGCAGAGATCTGGTGGTGGAGTACCTGCGGTGGACGCAACAGACACAAACCACACACCACACGGAGTGAACACACCAACACACCCCATGTTGGCTCTGTGCCGTCCTTCGCCTGCCACGTCCCCGTCACGCACTTTAGGCTTGTTGCTGATACATCTAACAGCGGCTGACCCAACCTGAAGGACCATCCTAACGGTTGCTTTGCTCCAATAATGCAACAGGGCCAGGGTCGCCCCTTTCACCCTCGCAGCGAGTAGCGGAACAGGTAGCTTGGATTATAAAAACTGCTGAAGAGCTCTCAATAACGGAACCGCCGGGGGAGCTGGAGCTTGCATTCCTGCATGCCCTTATCGTCTCCTTGATCCCTTTGAAGTTTGTTGTGGTGGGCTAGTGCATTTACAACGAATGTACCCAAGCATGTGTCCTGGTACTTCCCTGTCGGCATGGGCTGCCAGCCATTTTTATTGATCAGCTGGGTGGAAGAGTGCAGGATAACAGGGTCAGGGTCTATGTCTGCCATTGGTGGCAGAGTTAGATCAGGAAAATAATATCTCACTGGGCTGCACTGCGGCTCCAAACACGGTATAGCTCAAGTTCTGCTGCATAAAATCATATTCAGGCCCGCCACCTTGAGAGTCAAGAGATGCCCGTGTTGTTGCTGCAAGGTATAACCCAGGGAATAATATATTGTTTGTACGCTGATCGATGTCGAGCCATTTCCCTGTAGGATCAATTATTATTCATAATCCTATACCACGTCTTCATGAAGAAGGTTCGCAAGACAGACTCTCCCGCCTGTGCAGCCTCCCCAGTTTGGTACAGTCACCTGTCCGTTCGTTTTCAATCCATGCCGTCTTTGCGCATATACTCCGTAGAGAGCGCTCTGAAATGAAGTATAGCTTCGTTCCGCTAGAGGCCATTCTCGGTCTGCAGAGGAAGCGAGAGCCGTTCGTATAATTATCTGCTAGCCAGGTAGAGCCAACCCCCTCTGACAACATATGGAGGCAATGTCCCATCGATTGGTATCTAAACTTAATCGTTTGGCTGGTCATGAGCCCATCTTGGGTGCATAACAGATAGTTGAATACGTATCTCAAACTTAACGGAGTGGCGGAACCCGTACATAAACAGAATGGAGACGGGAATCGGAGTGTGGATATCGAAGTCAGAAGCGTTGTGCCTCTAGGAAGACCATTCATTTTGCATTCGCCTTGGAGAGGAGCCAATCGCCGATTTGGCCCCCAAATTTCTTGAGCCTGTCAATCGATCCAACACCGAAATCGACAGCTCCACCCGTCAATCGAACAATTCATCAGAGGGACTCCATGGTCCATGAGCCCGTTCCTTGTTTTCTGCCAGTCACACGAATGCTCGGTTGGAGCCGTGTACCAACTGATATTGTTTCTGTTCCTTGGTAACGGTTTCTGACTGTATTCACCGGTATTTCTTGCACCATGAAGGGGCCTGTTCAAGCACTTGGCTATTGGTCCTCCCCCGTGTATTGTTACATTCCCCTGCTATCTTTCTCGTGGTAAGAGCGAAATAGTTTACCCCGGTATAACATAGTGAAAGGGCCTGGTATTTATTCCAAGGGATCTCAATTAGATGCCTGATGATCATCTTTTTACCCGAAAGTCGATGTCGTAATCCCCGAAAGCATTCTTAGTCATTATAAACTGGTGGAGTGAACTGAAGTGAACTGTTCACTGCAGCTAGATTTGCTTCATAACCATACAAGCGAAACTTCGGGGGTTCCTCTCGCCCGCGGCAATTCATCGTAACCAATTCTATCCTTAGCGTGAATGGAAGGATGGAATGATACTACCTGCATTGCAGTGCGGCACATCATGCAGAAGAGAAGAGTGCACGGGAGAGATATCCATGCCCGGGGTATTTTCACATGGTACGGTCTACAAACATGGAAGGAAGAGAATATCCCTATGGGCAAAATCTCACTTCTTTTCAAGTAGACTTGTTTGCTGATTCCGTGATTAACAGACAACGTGATGATAGACACGTTGAAACGAACTGGAATTTAATCACCGACTAGGAGATACCAGCTAGTTACGGATAGATTGCTAAAGAGGCTCACGTGACTGGTGGCTGTCGGGTTTCTCGAGAGGGGCGAGGTAAATATATCTTCAAGCTGTGATCAAACCCAAGAACTTAATGCCTAAGGATCAGAAGAGCTCCGGTGCGAGTGGGTATATCATAGAAACTCTTGTGAAATTCTTATTGAGTCTGATTTGTTCACCAAATAACTAGTAACAAAAACAATGCCTGTTTGTATTTTTTCAAGAACTTGCGCCTATCTTTTTCCATCCAAGCAGTAGAACTATTGATTGCAAGACAGATTAATGGAAATTCGCAGGGCCATGCCATGAGAAAGGTGTTATTGAAGTGGTTGAGCAGGCACATGCCTAGGAAACGGAAGAACAAAAAGGGGGGAAAGTCGGTTTGTGTAAGACAAAGACGAGAAGAAAAGGGTCATGTCGGTAAGGAAAGCGAGGCCCGGATGCCCGCAGTGCCATGGTGAGGAGGAAGTACCGATGGTTGTCGAGAGAACACAACGAGGAGAGAAGTGGCTTTTTCTGAAAAGTAAAATGTTGTCTTATCGAATCGACACACCGGATCGTTTGGTGTACATACGCGCCGCAATATTCATGGACGCTAATTCCTGGAATAAGAGCTTGGCGGCATATGGTATATGCACCTGTGAAATCTTGTTCTTGTTTCTGCAAGCTCGGCACTCAAAGTCGCCCTTCTTAACCTTGCTGTGTGGTTTAATTCATGTTAGCCAGTTCTTGTAGCGTTTATTGTTGCTAATTGTACGGTGCAAAGGATTAGGGAAACTCACGCAATAGGTGTCATCAATCCGCAAATTTCACAGATGTGTACTCGGAATGGGTCAGATACATCGAATAATCTCTCCTTCAAAAACGAACTGGCTCCATGCGCAATCATACAATCACGTTCCATCTCTCCGAATCGCAAGCCACCATCTCTAGCACGACCTTCCACTGGCTGTCGAGTTAAAATCTGTGTTGGGCCACGGGCACGGGCGTGAATCTTGTCATCCACCATGTGTCGCAAACGCTGATAGTATGTAGGACCCAGGAATACTTGAGCAACCAGCTTTCTTCCCGTGTGCCCGTTGTACATCACCTCAAATCCACGTGATTGATACCCATGCTCACGAAGCAAACTGGATACTGAGTCAACAGTAACGTCGGTAAAAGGAGTAGCATCACCTTCATATCCACGCAGAGACGAAACCTTACTCAGCTGACACTCGATCAAATGGGCGATTGTCATACGAGATGGAATGGCGTGGGGGTTGATAATCAAATCAGGGGTGACGCCTTCTCTAGTGAATGGCATATCCTCGTGCCGGTATGTGATACCAATGGTACCTTTTTGACCGTGTCGAGAAGCGAACTTGTCGCCAATTTGGGGTATCTTTGTGGTCCGCATCCGCACCTTCACAAATTTCAGGTCATCGTTACTTGTGGACACAAGGACCTGATCGACGATACCACTCTCCGTGCTTCTAAGAGGAGTTGACACATCCAATTTTGTATGTTGTTTCGTTCGCTGACCAAGCTCTTCAGCCTCGGGTGCTAAAGGTGAGGTCTTCCCAATTATGATATCTTCACCGGACACACGAACTCCGGGCGACACAATGCCATCGTCGTCCACTTTGTCGTACGTTCCATGTTTCATCCTGAGAGTATCAGATCTCATTGGTTTCTCAAATCGCTCAACGACTGTCAACCCGATCATCTTCTCAGAATCAGTGTATGTTCGGTAGAACAAACTTCGGAATAATCCTCGATCGATACTGCTTTGGTTCATGATGACAGAATCTTCTTGGTTATAGCCGGAGTAACATGCTATAGCCACAATAGCGTTCTGCCCTGCAGGAAGTTCACGGAACTTGAGGAACTCCATGGATCGAGTCGTTGCAAGAGGTTTCTGTGGATAATAGAGAATGTTCGCCATTGTCTCCATACGCTGCTCGAAGTTCGTGAGGAAAACACCCATGGCTTGTTTACCCATAGCAGATTGATATGTATTACGTGGAGATTGGTTATGGTCGGGGAAAGGAATGATACTGGCACAAATGCCTAATATCATACTCGGGTGAATCTCACAATGAGTCCAAGTGTGAGCCTTTTGGCTGAGATTCGACTTCACACGCCGGTTACGGTCCGTCGTATCCTCCTCAGGCATGCCATAGCCGGCTTGGTATTGCTTCGATGCTTCTAAGTCTTCAGGGGTCATGACGATCATGATTGTCTCTTCTTCTTCCGCATCGACATATTCAATGACTCCAGATTTGACCAGACCATCCCAGCCGAAATGTCTCTCTCTTCGCTCTTCTGGGTCAAGATCTGGCGGAAGTTCTTTGTCTGCTTCAAGTTTATGGATATGTTCTTTTACAAGAACAAGAGACCCGCTGTTCTCGCTCTTTGGATCGTTGTCAACTACAAAGAGAGGTCGGCATACACGCCCGGCATCGGTGAATATTTTGAACTCGCGATCTCGAATATCCCAAACCAAACTGACCTCATGAGAAATCATGTTTCGCCGTCTTAGTGACTGGACTGTTCCCACGAGATGTGCCGGGTCTCTGTGTACACCCACCCACACACCGTTCACAAATACCTTTGTAGAATTAGGCGAGACTTGGGGTTCGAATTCTTCTAGGACTTCCATGTTTCGCTGAATCATGAAGTCGATAATAGGCTCGCTTGGGGTACCGACAGTAATGCAACACATGAGAGCTAAATTCTTGACAAGACCACAAGCCTGTCCTTCAGGTGTTTCAGCAGGGCAAACAAGACCCCAGTGGGTATTATGAAGCTGGCGAGGTTTGGCAATTTTACCATCTCTGCCAATAGGTGTGTTTGTTCGTCGAAGATGGGAAAGTGTAGAGGCGTATGTGTAGCGGTTAAGAACCTGTGAGACACCAGCCTTTGAGCTGGCAGCCTTCTTCTGCTCACCCCAGTTTCCTGTAGCAAGCGCATATTTAAGACCGCCTGTAAGGGTGCTAGCCTTGACACCAATGTTCAGGTAAAGTTGTCTACCAGTTTCAACACACCTCTGGACATATTTGTAAAGGTCCTTGGTGAGTCTCATAAATAGAACTCTGAACAGGTTCGCTAGCAAAGGTCCAGCCAAATCAAGTCGTTTCTTTCCAAAATGATCTCGGTCATCTACATCCCGGCGTCCGAGCGCACATTGAAGCAGGCGGTGGACCATGTAGCCTAAAAAGAAGGCTTTTCGAGTTTCGCTACCTTCGCTCTGCGAGATATGAGGTAGGAATTCTTTTTGAATGATGTCTCTGGCATATCGTACTCGCTTCTCTTGGTTCATGCTCATTGGTGAGGATCCTCTCTTACTTATGAAGTCGAGGGCAACTTCACGGTCCTGAATAACGAAACCCTCTTCAATACAGGGCTTGAGCATTTCCAACATAGGTGTGTCATTTCGATCGTAGCAAATATGGTTCAAGATATCCTCGTCAGACACCACACCAAGCGCGCGGAATACGACGACGATCGGGATATCGGTCTTGATATAAGGAAGTGTCGATCTAATTGTTGGACCAAATCCACCCTTGGCACTGTCTCCTTTGGAGAAAAGCTTGATGGAGAGCTGAGAGAGGATTCTGGAACCCTTTTCAACCGCACTTCGGATTTCGGCGACGTAGGGAGTTGGGCTTGGAGGAGCTTTCTTGAAGACTTGTACAATGTTTCCAGCACTGCGTTCTTGCGCAATCAAAACTTTCTCACTTCCGTTGATGACGAAATAACCGCCCGAATCATACGGGCACTCATTCCAGTTGTAGAGCGCTTGCTCACCAAGGTCTTTGAGAATGCAGTATTTCGATTTGAGCATGATGGGCATCTTCCCAATGAAAATGTTTTCCTCTTCCGCTTCGTCCTCCATGGTTGGCTTGCGTTCCCAGTGTAAATATGTTCCACGATTCCGTCTTTCTTCATCACCTTTTTCTTCAATTTCTTCTTCTTCTTCGTCTCGTTCCGATAGTAGACGTTCCCGGCCTTCCATAATCTTCTTCGAGATACCAAGATAGAGAGGGCTGGCATAAGTGAGATTTCGTAGACGGGCTTCCTGCGGCAACATGATACTGGTCGCGCCATCTCCTTCCGTCATAGAAGGTCGAGCCAACATAACGGTACCAAATTTAAGCTCATAACGGCGTAAAACAACGGGGTCGGGTTCATCGTCACTGGGAGGTACTGTTTGATCGAGTGTAACTTGGCCCTGCTCTTCCACCAGTTCCTGCATAGTAGTCGAAATAAACTCATCGAACGAATCTAGCTGTTGAGAGACCAAACCCTTGGACTCAAAAAAAGCCGAGATTACCGTCCAGCAGTCTTCAGATGTAATTCCCTCCTCCGTCTCGTAGTAAACATCGTCCCCATATTCGTCTGCATACTCCATGATGGCGATGCGTTGCCGATTAGAAATTCCGTGCGCGCGACAGGTTCAGCAATCCGATCCCCAGAGGGATCTAAACTGAGCAGCCAGATATCAACAGTAGGTAAAAGCGGTCCTCATCAACATAAATCCAGTCACTCACTGCCACGCCGGGTGAAATATGGTGTTGTATGAGTGACTGCTTCGAGGATTGCGCAGGTGAAGGAGCTCTCTCGGGCAGTCGTTGAGCCGCCACTGAAATTCCCGTCTCTGGCCAAGCCTCCCAAAACGCGCTTTTATCACGTGATATCACGTGAATTATTTAAATTTCGATTATGTAATCAGACAACCGCCGACCGTGATTCACCGGCGGCTATTCCATTTAAACCTACCTATAGTCACGTTTAGTCTATCCAAGTCCTTATATATAACCCTTCTCCTGCCCTGTGTCTTAAGTAGCAAATGTATAGCTGCAGTCTACTAACTGCTGATGTAAGATTACTCTTAGTTCGGTCGTTTTTCTACAGGCCCCGACTTTCTGAAGCCATCATATTTGAGGATCCCATGCAAACCGGGCTAGAAGCTAATATATTTACAGTGAAATTAATCTACCTTGTGCTGCCTATCCTACATTGAAAAAGCGCCAGCCTAGACCAGAGAGCATGGTTATAAAAAGCTCATCAGCGTGTCTAGCATGTCTCTAGTGTCCTGATAATCCGTCTCAGAATCATCAAGTCCGCTCAGTTGTTCTATTTTCAATATTAGTTATCCGCTTGATCTACTAGATGGATGTCATTTAATCCTTACTAACCTTGGAGCGTACCGCGGATGACACCTAGGTCTTCGTCTTGGTCAGCCATCAACGACTTAATTTTGGCTTTTGCACCGTCATCCTCAGCGACAAGCCACGCAAGGATTACATCTATGGTCTAAAGGACGGAAGTAAGTAAGCTTAAGAATATGGAGATCTGTCAAATGAGCAGAAATCTTACCTGTAGAGAGAAAAGTCCGGCATCAAGTCTGCGAGATAACCATTCCCCTTCCAGAGCGTCAAGACCATCTTGACTGAGACTGCTCTTTTCTTGGCTGATATCTTGTTCTACAACGGAGAGTTTAGACTTATACTCTCGCCGTAGTTTGATTAATCTCGTAACCTTTTCATAGTCTTTCTCCACGAACTTTGCTAACGTTCGAATTCTACCAGACGTGTCACCAGGAAGTAGCCTTAGCAATGACGAGAATATTCCCAGAAGGTGTTCCGTAAGCGATTTATCTTGCTAAGCACCAACCAGTTGTCAGAGTTATGCAGTTCTTAGGAGGTTTCGGAAAGGAGGTTACCTTCATAAACATGCCAAATGCCGTTCTGAGCAACCCGGCTTCAACGAACTTTTCACATGCCCGTAAACCTCCTCGTCCACCAAGGGCATGATTCAGAACACGTAAAGCTCGTGGCTTACTTAGCGTGCCTTCGCGGAGCATAATTTGTGCAAGTTCAATCCCCTCCGCTTCAATAAACTTGTCTTTACCTTCATCCTCATCTACCACACAAGTCAAACAATCGAATAAATTCTCAAAATACTCTTCTTCATCGGAATCTTTTTGGGGGTCAAGCTTTCGATATACGCTCAATAACTGGAGCAACGTATCAACTCCCTCTAGGCTGATGAATCGCAGTCGATTTTTTGACGAAGATTGTAACAGTATAGCAAGCATCTCAGCAGAATACTGTTTATTTTGGGATACCCTTTTCTCTTTCCTTGATATGCGCTCGTGCAGCCAAGGCATGATGCCTGACTCCTGTCCAATCCGATCTGCGATGGATGGCCTCGAGGACAAACTCTCCAGGATATCTAGTTGTGTTAGAAAGGCTGTTGTTATCTGCAGGGATATGTAACGGCATACTTAGTATATGGTATATACCGGACCTGTCTACCTCATTTTCTTCATTTAATCGTGCAAGATTTTGTGATAAAAGTTCAAGTATATCCGCGTCCAGCTTGAAATAGTTAGTTAATAAGATAGGGCGTTAGAACAAGACGTCTGTCTTACCATGGAGTTTACAATGGCATCCCACTGATCTTCCTCGGCTTCCACATCCTCGTCAATGAGCTCACCGAGTATTTCTATCGCATCAATTGAAATATCCGTATTCTCATGGGTAAGCAAGGAAACCAGTGAACCAGCGCAACCAAGTTCAGCAAATTCGTTATACAGCTTTGGATGCTCAGATAAGATTGAAAGGGTTTTGATTTCAACATCCAAATCGGCCTCGGAAGCCATGAACCTAGCCAATCCGTTAGATGGTTCATCCATATAAGAGTACAGGTGGACGATAAGTGACTACTTTTGCGGATCGTTTTCAAATTTGACCCGGAGTTCGGCATTCTTCGATATCTTTTTTTCGAAATTCAGGGCAGTGCGCCGTAACCATGCAGAGTCAATAACCTGGGGCTAAATCTGGAGTTAGCTATTGCGAGTCACAAACTGTATTTCAAATCTTCAATTACCGCAGCTCCTTCATTCTCATGTTTGTCAATGTAGTCAAGGGCATTGGTGGTGTCCTTCGTTACACCACCTCCGAAAAATCTACCCTCCTCGTCATCCGGGATATCCTCTTCAAAGTCTGGCGGAAGTTCGGGGCCGGCGACATCATCGTCTTCCGCATCCTCAACTGTTGGTTCTTTGCCTCTTATAGTGTCTCCGTTGGCGTCGAGTTTCGCGGCCTTGTATATCTCAGCTGCACAATTATATTGATTAGTGATCGAGCGAGTTTATTCCAGGGTAAGCGCATTCAATATAGGTGCCTAAACATACTTGGATCTCGCGCCGGCTCGAGCTTTCGTTTGATATTTGAGGGGTGGGATGGTTTCTATGAGTTGGTCAGCTCGCGTCCTAGTAGGTAAAAGGAGCTGTAATTATTTACCTTGAAAATATCATCAATGCTCGACATCTTTTAACAAATGGATAGCTAGGGGTTACTAGACGTCGAGGTCGTTAATTATACGACTTGTATCTCAATCACCCGGAGCTCAAAGATGCAGGTATTTCCATCTGCCGAAGACAGCTTTCCAAGCTTGCGCCGGAAGTTGAGTTCAAGGAAGCTTCGTAACTAGTTATGCAGTTCGTTCTACGTTCACGCGCAGACGCCAAGCGCGCAACTTTTACCTTTCTTCCCCGAAATTTTTGTAACTAACCAACTGCAACTTCTATATCCAAATTCATCGCCAATCATCACAACAAATCTATTTCTCCCCAAACGGAAAACACAAAGATAAACCAACTTCACCACTCTCGAAAATGGCCCCAAAGCAGCGTGCCATCTCGCACCCATCCCGCGGGGAGCCCCGTGGTATTGTGTCAACGGTTTACTCTGAGTTGACTTCATCAGAGAATGCCACCGTAGTGAGGAGCGTTCTCATATTCGGTGTATGTTTTAACTCCTATACCGTCCTTTGAATGCTGATGAGCTAGCGAAATCTGGTTGGCATTGGTTATACACCTATTCACTTTGGCTGATATAATCTCTCACAGGCCGCAGTTGCTTTCCTTCAGAGTCCGTTCGGCGAATGGCTACTCCCTGCGTATGTCACTTACCACCACCTATTATGCCTACGTTTCAGCTAACGTTACTTCTTCATCTAGCCTTTGAACTATGATCGACGTTTAGAATTTTCTCTACGGTAACCGAGGCCGCCTTTTGCACTCGCAATATTTGTACGATAGATGGGACTTTTCTTGGTTTATGCGGAGGTGGAGCACATCATTGAAGTCCGTTCGCTTGTTGAACACACTGGCAGGGGCTGAAGGAAGCACTTGTCTACCGGCAAGGAGTTAAAGCTAGAAGGCTACCATCAGTTTACGTGAAGCGTGCGGAATCCTTTTTACGGTTTTAAGCAACTATGATGGGCGTTTGGCCATGGATATATTTTAATTGTCAATGAACCTTATATTGAAAACTCAACTACGCTGCAACCGATATTTATCAACCTTGTATAGAAAGGGAATATCTAAAGTCTAAGCAAACCAAAAGCTATGTATGGGAGCGGAATTATTAACATTGAGAGGGGCAATGAGAATGAGATCAGAGATGGGATATCGTAACTCCATTGCAAATGTACAGCCGCTAATCCAAAACGACAAGATAAAAATACATTTACCTCTCTAAGACGTCTTTCAAGAATAAAGTAAGTCTAATAATTCAAGAGGTCAATGAAGAAACCCAAGAGGCACAGTAGCTCGTGATTTCTCAGGACGGTGGACGAGACGTACTGCTCGGAGACCGAGTAGTACAGTGTATAGGTTGACATTAGAAATAGTCGCTTCCACCAAGTCACCTGGCCGGAATTCGGGACAGCTTTTGTCAGTGGTCACGACACAGCGAACCCGGAAAGGTAGCAGATTTGCTGTATATCGTGTCTCGTCTGGCTCAGAAGCGGAGTTAGAACTCGCAGGAAGCTGGCTGACGATAACACACTGGAAACCTTCTGGGAGATTTGCTTCACCAAAGTAATGTGCACGGAATAAGGCCTGGAGAACCCAAAACTCCCGTGATAGCACCTGTGCCCTGTCGGCAGCTTTATTTTGCCAGTTTGAGCGGACTATGATTGCTTTGATGTCTTCGCGAGAGAATGGAAGGACAGTTTCGTCTACTTGATTGGGGTATCTTTCACTTTGGTCCGCCATACTTTGCCTTGCCTCATGACGTAAAGCGGCTTCTACTTGCCAGTGGACGATTAAGTCAGAGTAACGCCTGAGGGGCGACGTGCATTTGCTATATTGATCCATGCCAAGCGTGATATGAGGCGTCGGCTTTGAAGACGAAAAGGCTCGGGGGAGTTGGCTATATGGTGATGAACCAGGTACAAATTCTCCCTGGTCTTCCGTGGTGACTTTATCCAGATTGTAGGCAGCTGCCGAGAATATGACCGGAATGTTGCGCTCTTTGCACCACTGAGCAGCAATTTCTCCACCCAGAAGCATAGCATGTGCCACAAAATCAGTTTTGGTGGCTTCCAAAGATCCATCTGATTGTGTAAATTGACCGCTAACTCCGATTGTGGGATCATCATTATAGTCATAACGTCCCGAAATATCGCCTGTGTATGAACGTACACCTTCTTCACCTCCGGAAACAAGTGGTGACGAGGGATAGTTTGGAAAGAACTCTATAGCGCCTTTCTTCATGCGTTTTTCTCGACGCCCGGCGAGTAACCTCTCCATAGTTTCAAGAATGGCTTTGTGTTCCTCAGATATGTGCTCCTGTAATTCAGGGCGTTCTGGGCCCTTGGGAGTACCTCCAACTTCCAGGGACATTGAAGGGTTTTCATTTATATCAATACCAAACAATTTTCGTAGCCTGTCTGGCGTAATGTATACAACATTGTTAATGTAACCGTGGGTAATTTTGGTATCAAGGATTTCTCCTTCCATATTAACAACCGCACTGAACGTGATGGTTGGTTTCCCAGGCCCAAGACTAAACTTTTCGCTGGTAAGGTTTGGTGGGAACATCGGATAAACCCTCTCGGGGGTGTAAAAAGAGCGTTTAAAATGGGATGCCCCTTTAGCAAGGAGATGGTCATGAGGAATGAACGCCGACGGATTGGCAACATGGATGTGAACCCAGTATCTATCCGATGAGCCTGGGATACGCTCAAGTGAGAACCCGTCATCAATTTCTGCAGCAGATGCACTGTCAACACAGAACACTGGTGTCTCTCCCCAGTCTTTGCGAAAATCCTTCATGGAATCTACCAGGGTATCTATGCAGCTAGGCATTTCACAAAACCTATTACATTCTTCAACGATTGCGTCGGATACTGGCGATAGGCCATGGCCAGGAAGGGCGACCTGTTCATTGAGGACATGAATATTCTCCCAAGGAGTTAGGATGCCGAGTTCCTGTAGGGCCAAATATCCAGTAGCCTCGTTAAGGTTAAAGTTGTCGTATAATCCAATATGAAAAAGTATAAAGGACCCAGTGCTTCGAAGAGAAGAATCACGCACAAACAGTGGCGGAAGGATCCAAAGCCTCAAAAATTCAATTATATCTCTGTCTGTTTCGGAAAATGATGGGGTGGAAGGTTTTGAGCTCTCTTTCAATTGCTCAGCCTGATGTTGCAGGTCGTCAACCGAGTCGATTCTTGGACTTAAGCTGTACGCCTGCGTAGGCTTTCGAGACGCACGGCTCCGATAAATCCACTGTCGAGCAGTTTTGACAAATTGGCCAATGGGATTGCGATTCGAGGACCTCTTTTCTTTTTTTCCCATGCCACTACTCCTCAGGGTCTGGTACTCTCGCATCCACTTTATTACACGATTGATCAGTTCTGTCTGCGCCTTTGGACGGAATGTGTACGATTCAACCACAGACAAACTCTGATTCGCAATTATCGAGACTGGGTTTTGATCAATTGCTTGATGAATCGCGTATCTATCAGCTTTTGAAAGGGTATTTGGATCTCGGCCTAGGAGCTGAGAGGCGATTTGCTCGAGAGTCAGCGTTACTGGCTCTGTATCTTTTGCAAGGCGGTCATGCACAGAATTCAATATAGTGGCGTTTTCTGCAAACGTCTTTGAAGCAGCGCCCTCAAACTCAAGGATTGAGTTGAGCAAAGTAGCACCAATATGACGGGGAACACCGCCTTCCATGGCTAGTTGTGGCATATTTCCCTTCGCAATTACCGTTGTTGGAAGGTATGGAAATATTGGCTCGAGTAGTTCGGGTGAAAAGCGATGTTTTGTAATGTAGTTCACTTCTGAAGGTCGAGCAATTCGCCATTTCCCCCTGGTGGTATAAAACTGCTGCTGGTCATTAACCGTACGAAGATACACAGCTAGCTGGCCTGAAGAAGTCCCATTTTGACTGTTAAATGCTTGTCAGCCCCATATATCCATGTCACGTTAGCGCTAGTACTCACTGTCGTAGTTGAACTAAATCTCCAGGACGCAGAAACGGTAATGGATCACCCTCTAGATCTGAACTTCCTAAAAGCTCCGGAAGACTATCACTGAGGACAGAGTTGTCGAGAAACATGCCACCAACTTTCTGTGTAGATGGGGTAACTGCGGTTCCGTTGAATTCCATGATGGGATCGAGAGTTTTCGGCTGTTTTTCTATCCATTTTCGAAGGTAGGTTCTGATATCGTCCGTTCTCTTCATATCCTGTTCGATTAGCTCTCTCATACGATCATCCATAAGGGAACTTTCGGTAGAGGATCGTGCCTATAAGTATCCACCAACAAGTTAGACCATGTTACTCTTGCTGACAATCAATCATTTGACTTACATTTCCTGTCGCGGAAAACGACCGTCTAGGGACGCTGCCGTATTGCACGCTGCCATTACCACGGTACAAGAACGGGTAATGCGAAGAGGCATCAACAGACCGACTCAAGTTACGTCCGAGAGCTGTCGCGCATTGTGAGCAGACGAACGGCCGGCCCAGCTTCCCTGGAATATCCAGAGAGCTCCTCATCCACCAACGGGACGACATCGCAGACCCAAAAATCCTCCCAGCACCAGCGCAAGAGAATTGAGCTGCCTTATGATTAAAACAGCTATCCCATCTTAGTATTCGTGTAGCACCTGCTTCCGCCGAAAAGCTCTCGATCTGACGTTTCGATTAAATTTTAATGGCCTTTATGCCAAGACCCAAGGCACGATGGATGCGGCTCAACTAAAACTTTGTTATATAATCATGGTTCGATTATCACGTGCTCTTATTTATTCCATTATTGTTTTTACTTTCCTTTAAAAGTTGTGAAATGATGTGGAGTTTGAATCGCAACAACCAGCACTCATCAGGCCAGAACACAGCAAGGTGGTCAGCACAGTCAGTAGAATGGATAGGGCTATCGGCTGATGGATTTCGAACCTGACCTTCCGAGGCGAATTATGCCGCAGGGCAAATGCGCTCGATCCAAGTGTCCCAAGGCTAAATTGCGGTTTGACTATCTGATGTGGGTTTGTCCTAGTTATTTGTGCATTATTATTGACCGAGACTTGGCTCTTTCAGTAGGTCCAAGGATCCTGTTTATTATCCCTTGCTCCTTTTGCAGCTTATCCCACGTTGAGCTCCAGGCTCCTAAAGAACGGCAGTACGGAGTAGATAGTTGGCTTGAACATAACCGGCTAAACATGCTAAATAATGGCTGTCGGAGCAAGCTGAATCGTTCTACGCCCCATAAACTCCGTAATGGACTCTGTATGGCATGTCACTGACCAACAAACCTGCCTTGCTCTAAGCGCCCGCTGTAGACAGGGCTGAGGCACGTGATACGCAGGGCCAGTAACGGCTGGAAGGAGAGAAAGGACGGACGTCTCGAGGTTGACGACGAAACATCGAGGACCAAAATAGAATCCAATGCGAGCTTTGAAGCACCTTGAGTCAAGTCGGGGATGAAGATCGGTCCCGCTTCTGCCTCAGACTCAGTCTGGCCTCTCGATCGTTTGGCTGAGAGTTGCGGCCAGCAAGCAAGCCAAGTGAAAGAGCAAGCGCCGTGGTGGGCCATGTGGCGCTAGCTACAAAAGCAGCGACTCCTTTGCTACCAAAGCTCCAAGATTCAAGCTCCAAGCTCCAACCAGTGGTCCGTCAGCGACGACGCAGCTCATCCACCCTACTGGTGCTCGTCGGTGGGCCTTTCCCAGGGCTCTGGGGCCCCCAAACACGGCCTTTTAGGTTCGGTGAGCCGTGTCAGCTTCTATGAAACTGATTGTTCGCGATTTCATTGGGAAGGCCAGCGCTTGCTGAAGAGAATACCCAACCTTGTGCCCCTTGAGACGTCCAAGTTCTAATAATTTACTGACTTTGCGAAGTCAGTATCCTAAACAGAATCTTGAGTATGATCTAGACAATTCTATGAATAGGAACGACCCGACGATCCAAAGATAATTCGCCGTTCACCATCAAAAATGATCTATCTTGAAGGCGCGTAGTGATGTAGACCAGTGTCTAGACCATACCCAAAGATCGAGATATAAAGGCGGTGATTCTTCTCTTTCATTCCTGTTTTCCTCTTATTCTACAGCAATCAACAATCAACTACCATCGGCACTCTTTGATAGAGTGTTGTTTCCTTTTCCTTTTCCTTTTCCTTTATTTCCCTTGTCTCATATCATTGCATTTCTAACTTGTTTTCCCTTTCAGTCTCCTTTATCTCAACAATTTCATCATATATATACAACTATATCCCTTATTCTGTCCATTTATCAGCATATTCCCTCGCATTCGTATACCAGCGACTCAGGCAATTCATTTCACTCCCTGTCTACTACATTCATTCCCAAAACGTATCGTCTTTCTTGACATTATCTCATTTGTTTTCTTTCCTCTCGAACACAACCTCAATCGTCACTATGGCTGGTCCACAAGGCGCCCTCGCTACCTCTTTTAAGGCCGTCCGCATACTCCAGGCCATCTGCCTTATCTCCATCATTGGAATGACCGCCAACTTCATCGCTCAGATGGTCAACGCCAATGCAACTCCACCAGATGTTCTTATCGGCACTCTGAGTGTGGTAAGTTTGAATGCCTAAACGCACATATACCACATAAGTCTAACACTGGAACCACCAGACTGTCATTGCAGTCTTGTACTGCGCCATCACTTTCATCCTTTTCCTTGACGGGGCTCTCCCATACTTGATCAACCTTGGTTTGGATGGAGCCCATTTGATTGCCGTCGTGGTTGTCGCTGTCACTGTTGGGAAACCGCTATCGTATCTGAACTGCAATGTGATCGGACAAGTCACTGGCGGTCATTCATCCGTATATGACTTTGCCAACGCCCTTGGCCAGAGCCTCGCCAAGGATGGCGGAAAGATCAGTTACACCCATTGGATTGGAGCATCGAAGCTCACCTGTTACGAAATGAAGTCGATCTGGGGCCTGAGCATTGCTCTTTGGTAAGTGCTTGTTATACTGTCCAAGAGTCAATAAACCAGTTATCTAACAAGGAGCTTAGCATTTTGTTTGCCTTCTCTGCTATATGCAGTGCGTGCCTCTGGCGCCAAACCAGAGCCAGCGCTCCCAAGGACATTGAAAGCTAGACATGCCAAACCATCTACCGCCAAACCTCATTTTGAAACTGTGTGCTGCGCGATATACCTATGTGGATGGGAAATCATCTATCCATTATAGGTATAAGTCATTTATTAAAACGAAGGAGCGAGTGAGCAAGAAGTTGATGGCCACCATATTTCCTATTTCCAGTTTTCCTTTTTATTGTTGCTTTTCACTTGTTTTATTGTTTGTCTTTCACAAAGATATAATAGTAATAGGTATTTTGCATAACTAGCTAGAGAGAATTAATACATAGGCGTTTTAGGGTTGGGAATTTGACATTGCCGTTATACGATTCCCTAAGCCCTTTTTAGCAATCAATCTCCAACTGATGAAGACAAACTAGAACAGGACACTTTGTCATTATATGTGGCGTATTATAAGCCCACTCCAAGGTGTGTTCTTAACCTGACAAGTCAAGAGGAGCTTGGGAACAGGGAAATGGATCCCGGCTCTAGCACCAAGCGTCGAATGCGGCCGAAACCATCAATCACATCCTGGGGTGGGATCCAGTAGTAGCACTGTTTAGAGGAGACCAGAAACGGCATTTCCAGACTTAATCAGGGTGAAGAGAAGCCGTCCAAGGCTGTAGAACCAGACTCCAGTTCTTGCGTAGCTGGTGAGCTCTGACCCGGCGCCCAAGTACAGAGCCGCGAAGGCTACACGGCATCCGAGGTATTCAGCCGCAAGGTAATTGAGCTCGCTGACCGGGAGCTTGGCAATGTTACCCGCAAGCTAGATTTAAACCGAATTAGAGACGAAAGGAATACCACATAATGTTGTGTAGAAAGGCTGTGTGTAAACTCACGATGGCAGCGGCAAAGATCGGGATGCTCTCCATGGCATTGATATGAATGCTTCTGAGCTTGAAGAGTCTGTTCCATTGTTCGGCGGGGATGACGCCACGAAGCGAGTCGAGGGTGTTTCTCGGTCTATGTATGGTTTAAGACATTGTTAGTCGGCTGCTTGCAGCTGATGACGGATCGATAAACTAGGCAGGTAACGTACGTCAGGTTAGAGTATTTGCCGGTTTTCAGGGTCTTAAGGAAGAAGACGAAGTGTGGTGCCAGGCCCAGCACATAAGCGCCGGCAATGGAGTGGTAAGACCAGTTGAAGGTATCCATTGTGAATCGGAGAGAAAAAGCCGGTTTTATAAGTATGTGTGTTAGAATATTTTCGGATCTTGGAGTAGGGTGTTAGCGATTGATGAGCTGGCCAGATTTACGAAAGAGAACTCAGACGAGCAGAGGGGTTCTCCAACTTTATATACTCCGCCGCTACGAAGGTACCATAACGGTAGCTCCTAGTTTGGCCATAATACGATAACCTGCCTGGAATCTCAGCAGCTACGTAACTGGCAGCTTCTGCGGCAGACAAACGTCACAAACTTGGAAGCATCTCGTTATGCTGGTGGGGCGATAACTCAGTGCTAGATAGTGACTGTAAACACAGGGGAAGCAACAGCATCTATTCCTAATTCGCCTGAACTATTAGCATCTTGAATATAATCTGGTCCAACTGAGATCCCCAAATGCACAGCATCACTCCATCCCTTTTCTCTCTGTCATTCTCGTCGGCTTTCTCTTCTGCTTCCAATAATATGTGTAACCTACTGTCTAAAAGCCCCTTTCCGTCTTCCGAGGTAAAAAAAGCCGAGGCCTTCCAAGTTTCCGAGACCGGACAGCTCTAGATTGATTATATAATCACGGGCTACGGCATAAGTATTACTCCGATTGAACAGGCGTCCATGCGGCCGGGGGTCTTGGCACTGGAGCCGGGCCGTGCAGGGGCCGCCCTTTTAGGTAACGCCAACTACCTGGCATCCCTTGGTCACTTTATGCTCCGGTACCTGCGGGAAGAGGGGGAAGAGGAATGCCGTACTGGCTTCCCCTGAAAAGCATCAACATACTCTCTTTCAGAGATGACGTCCATAAAAGGTGGTCTGAGAGCCTACCTGGTTATATGTGAGACGTGTTATTATTTTAATCCCGTCGCAGACTTTTCTTATTGGGTGTAAATATGTGGAGGGCAGCGGATGCAGGGATGGGCGAAGCACGACATACTCCCTCATCTTGTAGGAGAAATCGTATCTCGTTCGCCTCTGCAGTGACCGTTTCAGTGCTGGTTATCGTTG